GGTATAAGAAATTTTTTTTGGAAACGATGTGAGCCCGAAAGTATTAAAATTAGAGTAATGTTATTCGTTTTTAACAGCCACATACATCGGCCGTTAATTTAGGAAATGAACAACTAATGAAACATCAGTTTTGAGCCAAACCCTCTGTGGCGTAGTGGCACATAAGTTGCCTTGGGTGCAACTAAGAGTGGAAACAAACCAGGTCAGGCCAAGCTTTACTCTTAACAGGTCAGGTCTGTTTTGTAGCCTATAGACCTGAGCCTAGCCTGTGGTCTATTACAGGCTTATTTTTCAGTCTGAGCCTAGCCTGTATAAAGGCCTGGCCTGGCTTGAAACCTGTGAAAAAGCCTGTTTTTTTAAAAAATTCAAATTACAATAAGTTTTTTTAGAAAAAAGCTAAAATAAAAAAAAAGTATACATAATAATTAATTTTTTATTTTTTTCTTTTATTTAAATTTTAGTATCATAGGTACTGTTTTAAATCTTAATTACAATTTATAAAGATATTATTGAAAATTAATTCTGATTGTATGTTAAAATTTGGGACAAAACTATGTTTAAGTATAAAAAAAAAATTAAGACAAATAAATAAAGAAAAAAATATTAATTTTACAATGAATAAAGAGAGTATCATACTTTAATTAATATAACACATAAGTTAATTAATCTATCATTCTTGGAACAAAAATTTTCTTTCCTATTTTATTTATATTTTTAAGATTTAAAGATCATATTATTTATTGATATTTTTATTTTAAATTATATTTTTATCTTTACTTGTCAACTAAACTTCAAAATCTAAAGAAGAACTAAGCTATTAACTATATATTAAAATTAAAAAATAAATTAAAAGTGCACATTAACAATACCATTGACTATTTTTTTTATATATTATAATTATAAATTTCTAACAAGCTCAGGTCGGCCTAACAAGCTTAACAAGCTTTTTAGAGAGCCTAAGCTTGGCCTATTAATTTAAACAGGCCTTCAAACAGGCCTGAGTCTATCTTTTTTGAAAAACAGTCTAGGCCAAATACAGGTCAGGCCGTAGGTCCCTAACAGGCTGCCTGGCCTATTTCCACCCCTAGGTGCAACCGGCTTGCTGCAAGCATTAGTTTGCTAATTAAATAAAAAAAAAGAAAAAAATCAGTTTTATATATGAAAAAAGTGACTAGAAAAGAATTAATTAAAGAAAAAATATAATAAAAAAATGGAATTTAAAGAATGCTTTTGATTAAAAAGCAATTTAATTTGACGTGCTCTCTGGCCCATGAAAGAGGCGTCACTTGACGTTTAGCTGTGCTTTGGTTGTTTTTGGTGAACATTAGATTTAATTCCCAGAGGCGAAAGCATAACTTCTCGTTTATATAAACAACAATGGATTTTCCCCCCGGGCAAACAGAAGTGAAAGTTAAAGCACGCTTATGATTTTGCTCAAAATGAAAAGCCAAAGAGCATGCTTTTGATAAAAGGGATAACCTACAAATTTATCCCAAAATTTTACTTAAAAACGCTAGCCATAGAACTTTTTTTGACGTAAATTTTATTTTGAAAACTTAAAATTCTAGCAATATTGTCCCTACTGAAAAAATTTGACTTCAAAATGCAATGCTAGTGAGGATGTGGCATCTGCGTGGCTGAGGAGAAAAATTTATCCTTTACTTGAATTGAGAGAAAATCAAAGAGAAGAGAAAACTAGAGAGGAAAGAAAACAAAAAAGAAAAATAAAGAAAGAAATAAGTTCTTCTCTGCTTAGATATGAGAGAAAACGCGAGAGGAAGAAAAAGTGAAGGAAATAATGAGGTGGGTCTCATGTTTTTTTTTTCTCTTTAAATTTTCTCTTAACTTACGGAGAGATTTGGAAAATTCTTGACTTCTTCCTCTTCATATTTTTTTTTTAAATTGAAAAGTTGTTCACTTTTAATTTTGGGTTAATATAAATTTTAATCCCTCAAATTTGAGCCCATTTAGGTATCGGTCCCTAAGATTCAAAACTCATTGTGTTGGTCCTTCAAATTGTATCCGTTTTTTGCCATTGGTCCCTGGTAGCTTTAGGCCGTCAAAATCATCTAAGTTGGCACTAACTCTGTTATATTGATGATGTGTACATAGAAGCTGGTATGTACATGGATCTTATATGGAAAAAAGAAAAAAAAAATAGATAAATGGATGTTTTAAAACACAGCGCACCTGAAGAAATTGACGCACTAGCAGTTGAAAAAGAAAAAGGGAAGGGGTTAGGGACTTAGGGTTGAAGGGAAGGCCGTCAGTGGTGACAAGAAAGATCCAACACCCACAGATAAGGTGATTGAGGAGAAAGATCCAGCAAAGGAATTTAAGATCAGATGAAGGCAACGGAGATCCGGCAATTGCAGGGAAGGGCGATTGGTATTTTGTAAGTTGTTGATATAAGTTTTAATTTTCTACAACATCTCTCCTATCCCATCTTCTCCTTGTCTTCAACATCGGATTCAATGTAAGCTGTAGTGAGGTGGAATGGCTTCTAGTAGGAATTCGTCGTAGTTTTCACTTCATGGACTGAACAAATTATGATAGAAGATTTCTCAAGTGCCCAAATTACAAGGCTAGTGGCTGATAATTTTTTCCTATCAAATTTGATTAAGTTTCTGGATTGATGAATTTCTGTTTTTGTTTAATGGCTTCTGGATTTGCTTAGCTTTTAGGAGCAATGGTCATGCAATTATTTTGATTGGATTGATGCACCGGTTGAGAATCCAACATTGGAGGAATTAAAGAAGATGAAGAAAGACAATGATGATATGAGAAGGCAGCAATAAAACTAACAGACAACAACCTATATCAATAGTGAGACCAAAAGGCAGTAGCGAAATTGACCATCTAAAGTACATGGCAGCCTTAAAACTAATAGACAATGGTAGGGACTAGGATTAGAAAATAACGGAATAGGAAAATAAGGATGCAAAAGGAAAATTCTAGTAGAAAGAACTGCAAGTATCTCACAAAACTCTCTAAAAGACCAAAGGAGAATCTCCAATATGAATATACTCTCTGAAAAATGTCGTGTCTTGTTCATCAGGCTAATAAGCCTTTTAATAACAAATTATATAGAGAGAATATGTTGATAATTCAAAGATAACAATCAGCAACTAAATCTAGAAGGCAGCAGCGAAACCAAAAGATCAACAGCAAAATTGAACATGTAAAGTACATGGCAGCAACAAAACCAACAGATAGCAACCTATATTAATAATAGGGATAAGGTGCATTTTTACCCCGGAAGTGTTCACGTAGAAGCTATGGGTGTCCGGAAGTTTTTTGGGTCTCAATGTCGCACTGGAAGTATAAATTTCATAGCAATGTCGCCCCGAGCTAACTTTCAACTCACGATCAACATTAAAATTACCTTTCTCTGAACTGTTTTTCTTAATATAAATTAGAGAACTGGTCTTCTTGCATACATATTCAAGAACTGCTCTTCTCAAATACTTATTTGAGAATGCTCTTTGGTCTTCCTAAATACATATTTAAGAACTAGTTTTCGGTCTTCTTAAGTACATATTTGAGAACTGGTCTTCTTGAATGCATATTCGAGAATTGGTCTTTAACAAGCATAACTTGGCAAAAATCAACCTTTATTTCCTCACATTGCATGAGTTATTGCCAGAACGCATTAACATATACGATAGATTCTCACCTTTCAACCAGCAAAACTCGCCAAAATTACTGTTACAGTTTCTTCCCTCGACTGCCGTTGATAAACCACATTCCTTTGGTGACGGAAAAGTCATAGTTCTCCGACAAGTGTGGGTGCGCTTTACTATTGACCTAACCCTTTTTCCCCTTTCTTTTCTCATGTTCTTGGTCTTTTTTATTGCTCCGTCTGTGTGTTTTCTTTTAAGTCAGCGCTTTTTCCCCCATTATTTATATGTACATGTCAGCAAGCCACATTATCAAACTATTGTCCACCTCATTCTCTTAAGTTAGATGCCACATCATAGGTTAACAGAGTTAGTGCTAACTCAGACTATTTTGACAGCCTAAAGCTACCAGGAACTAACGACCAAAAACATATACAATTTGAGGGACCAATAGCATGAGTTTTAAATTTCAGAACCAATACCAAAATGGGTTCAAATTTGAGGGACCAAAATTTATATTAACCCTTTAACTTTTTATCTTATAACAATATTTTATTAAATAATTTGGCTTTAGAATATAATAATATAAAAATATGTATAAACCAAATAACTAAATTTTAAATTATTCGATGATGCTAATGTTAGTATAATTTTCTTATTACAATATTTGATTTGATTTTAAAAATGATATATTTTGATAAAAATATTTTAATTATTTAAATATTTGTTTATTTTTTTCCTCTATTTTCTCCTCTCTATCTAAGCCCTCTGATTTTTTCCTCTCTCCATTTCCCCTCTTATCTTGTCCTTCCTTCTAACTTTTCTTCACATCCAAGGAAGCAAAGAATTAAAGTGCCTTGTGATATGAATGAAACCAATCAAAAGCAACACCCCCTTAATCAAAAAGCCTTGATAAACGATCCCCATCTCTTCCTTCACTCTTCTTTTCTTCTCCCACCTCTCCAAAAACTGCAGCCTCTTGAATGTTGGCCCCCAACTGTCCTTTAATTTTAAGGTTTTTTTTCAATTTTTTTATTATTAGATTCTACATAAAATGTATGACATTTTAATATCTTATTTATAAAAAATGATTTAATTTGTAATTTTTTATAATTTTTTTAAAAGATTTAATACTCTACATTAAGAAAAATAAACCATTTAAAGTGCTAAATCTTATAATTTTACAATTGGCGAAATTGCTCTAAAAAACTTTTCTGATGCCATGGCTCTTTTACGAAAACTTCGGGAGCAAGAATGACTTTTAATTCAGGCCCCCAAAAAAAAAAAAAAAACAAAAGACTATATATATACATCCACTCTTCCTCAATTCTCTTGTAGTTGTACTAGGCACACAAAACTGAGTTGCTTTCGCGCACAAACTGTGAAAGATGGCGTCGTCGAAAGTGAGCTTAAAGTTGTTGATTGACACAAAGGAAGAAAGAGTTCTCTTTGCCGAAGCTTCAAAAGAGTTCATTGACTTTCTATTCAACTTGCTTCGCTTACCCCTTGGCACAGTGACCAGGCTCCTAACCAAAAACGCCATGGTTGGCTGCTTAGGCAAACTCTACGAAAGCGCAGAGAATCTGGACGACGTTTATCTCAACAATCCTGAACAAGACAGGAACGCTTTGCTGAAGCCAAGTGCTCCATTAGTTTCTGGCTACCTTCTTCCTGCCGCAAATGATGATGATCATCATGATACCAATTCCTCAGGAGCTGCTCCAAATCTCTACACGTGTGGGGGCGGTTTTGGGAGCCATTGCAATTATGCTGTGACATATGTTATGGACATGGCGTGTCCAAGTTGTGGACGCCGCATGAACTGTGCCGTACAATTAGTAGGTAATGATATAAAGGTGGCAGAAGATTCAAGTGCGAAAGGCTTTGTGAAAGGAGGGTTCACTTACACTGTGATGGATGATCTTGAAGTTCGTCCCATGTCTACCATTTCAACCATCACTTTGATCTCCAAGTTCAAAGTCAAAGACATTTCTTCCATACAAGAAAGGGTTGTTGAGTTGGGAATGGAAGAGGTAACATAATTAATATATGCGGGGACTTCATCCCTGAGACTTTTGTTTTCATTTCCTGTGTTTTCCAAAGATGTTATAGTTTAGGTTATCATACTAAAAGCATAACATAACCTTTTCCCTAAATGAAAATCAAGTCGAAATTTATTATAAAGTTATTTTTTAAAAATATGTATGTTAAAAAAAGTGTTTAGATGGAAACCAAACCATGGTTTTAAAAATAATTTTATAACATACAAAATAAATATGTAGGAGAGTTTGCCTCAATTTATAAAAAGTACTTTTAAAAAATAATTTTGATGATATCCAAATACTCCCTAATCAATTTTCTTTTGAATATCGTTGGATTAAAGATGATATAATGTGTCTTATTTACTCTTAATTATTATTCAGTTGCTTTTTATATTCTTGCTTACTTTTTTGATGCTAGCTCTTTTTTTCCTTTGTCCCTTATAATGTTTGTAGACTCTAATAGTTTTTCCTTTCATTTGATAGGGTACTAAATTGCTAAAGGCTTCCTTGCAGTGCAAGAATGTTTTGACGAGTGTTTTTCTCAAAAAAGACAACATAAAGAAGCAAGGAATTTCTCAAGACATTGTAATGGAAGCTGAGACTTGCTAGCTTCCTTTTGCTTCTGTGTTTCATCTGTCTTCGTTTCTTTTTCTCCTTTTGGCAGGTGACGTCTGTTTTAGTCTACTTTTGTACTGTTATGAACTTATGGGATGTGTTATTTTTATGCTTAATCAGGCTGGTGAAATTAGTTACTGTTGCCAAACCCAATTATATGTATGAAGCTAGTTATATAATTTCATGCTTCCTCAACAATTAAAAGTAGTTCTAAATCATGATGCTGTGTCAAGCGACCAGTTTTTACTGTAAAGAATACTGAAAAATCCTAAAAGAAAAAAACACTTTCGTTGCATTATTGCGAGTTACTGGTTCAAGAAAAAAGATAGAAAAAGAAAAATTAGAGTCATTTTCATAGGGTATAAGCATTGGGCACAAAGGGGCCATTATCATTAATAGAGCTCCTATGAATGGCCGTACACTATCCCCCCCCCCCCCACCCCCGGGGGATAATAGCTGTACACTATCGCTGTGGTCCTTTTCTGAGGAAGCCGGCCAACCTTTTTCAAAATGTAGTTTTTGAAAGGTACATATTTATCAACAGGAGCAATGAGACTTTTTTTTTTATCAAAATATTATAAATAAAAATCCTATTTGCTAGCAAGATTAAAATCACTTATAAATATATTTTACGTAAATCGAAATAAAATTTTTCCTATATATTTATCTTATATTTTGTAAATCATAATTGAAAACGGTCCAAATATTACATGATGGAAAAGATTACCTATACGCTGCATTTTTTGAAACTCACTGTGAACAAGTTCAGCCTGAAATTTTTTAAATTGTTCACAGCCTGATATATTTTTTTTTAAATGAAAAGGTGGAACTCGTTCATAAGCACTCCTGTCCTTTTTCACTTTTGATAAAAAGAAAAATTACGTACAAGTTCCAAAGAGTGGACTTTATTTATCTAACGTCCCATAAAATATCAAAATTGCTAGCAGATCTTAAGAGAGATTAGAGTATTATATTCTAATTGTAAAATAACATCACTACCTCTCAGATTTCCAACTATAAAGCATGATGGCATGTCACTAGTTAACATAAGTTTATGGAAAACTACATACCATATACATTAGTATCCATCTTGTGCATGTACGTGATAATGTTTGCTACTAAGATTCTTCCAAATCTCACCCCTCCCTTAACCAATCATAGTAGGTCAAATGATAAGAAGAAAGCGTGCATGAAGAAGGGCAAGAAGATGAAAGTAAAGAAAGTGGAGAATTTACATGCATTTCAATGTAAGGATTGAAGTCGCTAGTAATTAATTGTGGACATGTTGAGCATGAAATGTGATGTAATGTTTGATGTATGATGTTAATGGCATGTAACTCAAAGTATAAGAATAAATGGAAAACCATAAGACTAGTTGTTGCATGCTTAAATTAAGAGAGAATTAAAAGTAAGAAGCTAATGAAAGATAAAAACGAAAGTCCTGGAATAGTGAGTTTGTAACTCCAGTTTAACCCAGCAAATGGTGGAATCTGATCACGAAATTTGGTGATCATATAGTACACATTCCAAGCTTTAAAATGAGATGCAAACCACCTCAATTGGATGTGTACACAAAGAGATATGAATTTTCATAGTTGAGGCAAGAAATCTGAAAGTTACAGTATTTACTAAATAAACAGTAAAGTTTAATGAATAAATTGTACAAACCGATCAAGGATAAGTCTAATTTCTTTTTTTTTTTCCTATAGAAAATTGAAAGAGCTTCGAGCAGAATGTTGGAGCACCTCAATACAATTTTTATAGAATTAGTTATGAATTTTTGAAATTGGACCTGTAATCTAGAATTTAAACAGTGAATAGTAACATGAGTAATTATGTTGAAATTTTCAATCCACTGACTTGTTTTATAATCTGTTTGACTCATAATACTTAAAAATATGTACTCTGAAGGGCAAAAGTAAGGAGATTACACTTGATCTAACCTGTTTCTATTCCTATTAGTCGTCCAGATAATGATAGTGTTGATCTCTCCAATGGAATCCCTGACCCCCTTGTTGCTTATGAGGACATAGAGAAGGGAAAATGACAAAAACAAAGCTAGAAATTCCTAGATTTTAAATAAAAAATATCAATAAAAATTTGTTGTCATTTACAAATTCAACATTGTCAATACCAAATAAAGTGTTGTTATCAAATTTGATTTGAAATTTAATAATTTCCTGCTTCCTTTTTATTATTATTATTTTTTTTTACAGAAAATGATCTTCTTGCCGGTGATCTCAACTCGAATAGTCCTTCCTCCTTGTCTCTAGGAATTTTGTCAAGCTCAAGTGGCAAGTGCATGATTTAACTTTTATTAATTTTAATTTGCAAAATACATTTTTAAGAAAAATAGAAGGCGAATTCCTTATGTGATATTAACTGATTAAAAATTTAACAAAGTTACATAATAAATATGTACCAAATTAACTATAAGCTTTGTATATTTGACGAAAAGAAGTAATTATAAATTTTGTCTAGAGTACACCTATGATGGATTAATACTTCCCAGCAACATTACTTCTAAAAGAAGTTTTGAACACCCATGGCTTTTATGCAAAAACTTTCGAGGCAAAAATAGACTTTATCCCTATGTTTTTTCTTTTATAAAAAAATTAATTATATAAAAAGGTTAAATGCATCCAGTATTTTGAGATATTTTCTCAGATGCATCTAGCATCCTAAAATATCTTTGTGGCTAAAGTTTTTTTTTTTAAATGCATCTAACACCTTAAAGTATTTTTTTGATATATTCAATATTCTAAATATTTCGTAGAAACGTTTAGCCCCTTAAAATATTTTTTGGTACATATAACATTATAACAAAAAAAAATACTTTTAAGGTACTAAATTTGTCTTAATGAAGAAAACTATACAACAAAAATGGTGCATTATAAAGCTTAGGAAATTAAATAAATAACTAACAGAACAACAGTTTTGAGCCAACACCACTGTGGTCTACCTGGTTGCGGCTTTCATCCGCCTTGCAAGCATCAGTTTGCTAATTAAAAAAGAAAAAAAGAATCAGTTTTATATATGAAAGAACCGAGTAAAAAAGAAAAGAAAAAATAAAATACCAAAAAGTGGAATTTAAAGAATGCTTTTGATTAAAAAGTAGAGTACTTCAATATCACGCGCATTGTGCTCCGTGAAAGCAGCGTCATTTAACCTTTAGCTGTATTTTGGTAAACAAGGCTCAAAGCCCATATCTTTATCTTTAGCTGGCTGTTCAAGGTTAACACAGACTTCCATCTTTCAAATTTTTTTTAATTTTGATTTTAATTTTTAAAAGTTTAAATTATAAGTTTTGGTCATCTTAAATTTTTTATTTAAAATATTAGTCTCTATAATCTAATAAAAATTTGAATTATTTTGTCTTTTGAGGGACCAAAATCTATAATTTAAAATTTGAAAGATTAAAATTAAAGATAAACATAAGGACTGATGATTATATTCACTTTTTTTTTTACCTGGATATCTTTAGCTTTGTTTGCCGGGGTGAAATTGAAATATCTCATTTATATAAAGGGATGGAATTTTTTAATGAGCAATGGCGCCCGAAAGTTGCAAAATTGCTGCAACCTCGCCGCGATCACCGGATGGAACCTAAATGAAAAAGTTTGACTTCGAAATGCAAAGGTGCCAAATGATGTGGCACTCAAGAGTCGGCCACCTCATCATCATCAGGACCTCAAAAGCCACGTGTGAATATCGGTCCTCCCTCCCTCTTCTACAACAGGACTCCTTGATCGCTCCTCATCAGAATATAGGGCCCACCAGGCGAGATGCAATCTGTTGAAGAAGAATCAACCGTGAGTGGTGGTGGTGAGGACGGAGCCGGGGACGGCTTGAGAACGAATTTGGCAGAGGGTGGAGAGGAGGGAGGCGATGAAGGTGGGCTTGAAGCGTCGTGGCCTCTTCTTCCATTCCATACTCTGTTTCGTCTTGGATACCCTCTTGCTTGAAGGGTGATGTTAACGTGGTTATGAGATTTAAGTCGAGGCCTTTTTATAAAGTAGGCGTCGTTTTTTATTGCTTTCATGTGATGTGGCACTTTAAATTTCTCTCCGATCAGCCACGCAGATGCCACATCGTTGCCAGCATTTCATTTTGAAGTCAAGTTTTTTTATTTAACAGTCAACCTTGGGTTTTCATCCTACAATTTTGCAACTTTTAAGGTGACATTGTTTTTTTGTTCTTTTTTTTTAAAAAAAAAAGCTTTTGAGATAAAAATAATTAAATACGTGACTACATATATGCCCCCACTCATCCTCAATTCTCTTGGGGCGGTACTAAGCGCACAAAACTGATCTGCTTCTCCGCACAAACAGTGAAAAATGACGTCGTCGAAAGTGAGCTTGAAGTTGTTGATCGACACAAAAGAAGACAGAGTTCTCTTTGCGGAAGCTTCAAAAGAGTTCATCGACTTTCTATTCAACTTGCTTCGCTTACCCGTCGGCACAGTGACCAGGCTCCTAACTAAAAATGCCATGGTTGGCTGCTTAGGCAAACTCTACGAAAGCGCAGAGAATCTGGACGACGTTTATCTCAACAATCCTGAACAAGACAGGAACGCTTTGCTGAAGCCAAGTGCTCCATTAGTTTCTGGCTACCTTCTTCCTGCTGAAAATGATGATGATCGTCATGATACCAATTCCTCAGGAACTCCAAAACTCTACATGTGTGGGAGCCGTTGCAATTATAATGTGACTTATGTTAAGGACAGAGCGTGTCCAAGATGTGGATGTTCCATGAGCAATGCCGCACAATTAGTCGGTAATGATAAAAAGGCGGCGGAAGATTCAAGTGCGAAAGGCTTTGTGAAAGGAGTGGTCACTTACACTGTGATGGATGATCTCGAAGTTCGTCCCATGTCTACCATTTCAACCATCACTCTGATCTCCAAGTTCAAAGTCAAGGACATTTCTTCCTTACAAGAAAGGGTTGTTGAGCTGGGAATGGAAGAGGTAACATAATTAATATATGCAGGGACTTCATTTCTGAGACTTTTGTTTTCATTTTCTGTGTTTTCTAAAGATGTTATAGTTTAGGTTAGTATACTAAAAGCATAACATAACCTTTTGCCTCTGTGAGAATCAAGTCGAAATTTTTTGTACAGTTATATTTTTTATAAATATCGATCGCATGTATGTTTGACCAGTTTTCCTTTGAATACAGTTGGATTAAAGATGATATAATACATGTTTTATTTACTCTTAATTATTATTCAGTTGGTTTTGATATTCTTGCTTCCTTTTTTGATGTTGGCTTTTTTTTTGTCCCTTATTATGTTTGTATGCTCTAATAGTTTTTCCTGCATTTGATAGGGCGTTAAATTGCTGAAGGCTTCTTTGCAGTGCGAGAATGTTTTGACCAGTGTTTTTCTCGAGAAAGACAACATAAAGAAGCAGGAAATTTCTCAAGACGTAGTAAATGGAACGTGAGACTTGTTGGCTTCCTTTTCCTTCTGTGTTTCATCAGTCTTTGTTTCTTTTTTCTTCTTGCCTTTCTCTTTTAGTGGGTGACATCTGTTTCTGTCTACTTTTGTACTGTTTTTGTTTGTTCTGCTGGATACTTTTGTACTGTTATAAACTTCTGGTGTGTGTTATTTTTATGGTTAATCAGGTTGGTGAAATTAATTACTGTTGCCAAACCCAACTATATGTATAATTTCATGCTTGCTTAACAATGAAAAGTAGTTCTAAATCACGATACTGTGTCAAGCGACTTGTTTTTACTGTAAAGAATATTGAAAGATTGCAAAAGAACAAACACTTCCATTACATTTTTGCGAGTTACTAGTTCAAGGAAAAAAAGATAGAAAAAGAAAAAGTAGCGTCATTTTCATGGGGTATAAGCATTGGAGAAAAAGGGGCCATGATCATTAATAAAGCTCCTGGGAATAGTTGTACACTGTCGGGGGAAAAGATTTGAATTAAAAGTATAGTTTTAAAACCGTATATATTTATCAAGGGAAGCAAAGAGGCACTTTTATCAAAATAACTATAAACAGTAAAATAAACTACTCAAAGTCTCAAATACTATAAGATGAAAACTCGTTTGATTTCCACTGCTCTCTTGTTCACTTTTGATAAAAACAACGCCTAAAGACCCACTTCATCAATTTCCTCTGGCCCTTTTAAATTTTGGGGCAAATTACAATCAAGACCCCATTACAACAAAACTCCTCCCCTCTTCCTTTCAAGCATACTATTTTAAATATAAGGCTTATTTTGTAATATAATATTACAAAATAAGTCTTATATTTAGCATCAAAGGAATATGAGTATATTTCGTAAAAAAAGTACTTTATATTCTAATACTTAAATTCAGTAAAAATATATAAATAAATTATATAAATATAAAATATTTATAAATCATACAAAATATATCTAAAATCTACACCCATTTAATTATAAGTATACACTTACCAATTTCCATCTTTATCATAATTACTCAATAATATTAAAATCAATGATTTTTTGAGGAAAAAACTTAATGTCTTCGTAGATTTTATGAAATAGCTTCTTCTAAATAAAAATATTAAAAACTAAGTACGCAAATTTTTTTCAAATAATTTAATAAACAGTCACTGAATTTTTCTTGTATTATGTGTGACACAAGAAGCACCTGGTTCTCAATATAAAAATAACTTTTATTTTTATTTACAAGCTACTACCTCCGGTCCTAATTATAAGACCCAGTTGACTAATTTGAGGAGATTAAGGAAGTAAGTTAAGTTAGTTATTTGTAATAAATAAGTGTTATAATTCCCAAAATATCCTTGCTAACTAAGTGTATTAGCTAGAATTATCATTATTAGAAGGACTATCTTGAAAAAAAAATGCATAAATATGAGAGACAAAATGGATTGGGGTCTTATAATTAGGACCAAACTAAAAGTCAAACAGGGTCTTATATTAAGGACCGGAGGTAGTATTTGATAAAATCTACAAAGAGATTGAGTTGTTTTCTCAATAATATCCTTAATTTTGATTTATTGAGTAATTATGATAAAGATAAAAATTGATAGTATATATCTTATAATTAAATAGGTGTAGATTTTGGATATATTATATGATTTATAAACAATTTATATTTATATAATCTATTTATATATTTTTTGCTAAATTTAAGTATCAGAATAAAAAAATACTTTGTCTACAAAATATACTCATATCCTTTCTGTGTAGGAGGAGATGTAAAACTTATTTTATAATATAATATCGTAAAATAAGTCTAATATCTAGGGTTAGAAGGTAAAAGGAAGAGGGGAGGAGTTTCATGGTAATAGGGTCTTTGATTGTAATTTTTTCCAAATATTAAAAGGGGGAGAGGGTGGCAGGAAATTGATGAAATAGGGTATTGTTTTTACCGAAAACGAAAAAGGAGGAAGGTGAAACTCGTCATTATTTCATTTCATAAAAAAAGAAAAAAGAAAAAGATGTCATGCTAGAACTCATTCGCATGCTGAACAGGTTTCGAAAAATGTAATATATGGCCAAATATTTTTTTTTTATCATGTAGCATTTAGATAATTTATTTTACTGTTTATAGTATTTTGATAAAAAAGCCAAGGTAAAGACTTTTACCCCAGCAAAATAGTAAATTTATAGTATCAACCTTTTTTTTAGTCAGGTTTATAATAGGGAAAATGACACGTTAAAAAACAAAAACTTATAATATTTTAAATTAGGCACTTAACAGTTCAAAATCTCATAGGAGGAAGTAGTATTTGATATTCCTTGATTCTATTTATAAATCACTTTTAACAATTTATACAGACCAAGGAAAACTTTAAATGTCATTCACTCTCATTTAAAATTAACAACTTTTAACTTTATCCCTATTTAATATACATTATATCTCATGTAAATAAAGTCAGCATAGTAATTAATGAAAAATAAAATTGTACATACATACAAAAAATTTCTCTTAGTATCCTATAAAGAGGACCAATAAATATCTTCTCTCTTTGCCTTATAAATAGGATCAGAAGAGTATGATATTTTGCAAATATAGTTAAATAATTAAATTGTCCTTATATTAAATTTTAAGAAAATTATCAAACTTGTCATTGCCCGTATATTTCTCATCATTGACTGTTTAACCACTTGTCCTTACTAGTTCAAAATTTTAATACATAGTTTGTCATTGCCCGTACATTTCTTTTAATTTGTTGTTAACACTTATCATTGTTGATTTACAACTTGTAATAAACTTTTCATACAAGAGCATTTTAGTTATTTACCTACATTTACAAAATACCTAATCAGGCTACTAGTTATTTCTTGGATCTTGAAATTCCCTTTTTTTGTTTTTTGACCAGCAGATATTGAAATCCCTTGGATCTTGAAATCTTAAGCGTCTGGATTAAACTATTGCTGTCTCATTTTCTCTTTATGATATCAAGCAGACTAATACATACTCTACAGTATTTGATCATCGATACAATTGCTCCCATAAAGTTTCAAACTTCCAGATTTTCCATCCGAAGTTAATACAGAATACAATATATATATATATAATATATATATATGGCAAAAGAAAAGGGAAAAGGAAATCCGTCCACACACACACGGATGTGTTTGTGTATATGTTTTTCATTTTTCCAAAATTTGGACTTATTATAACTATTTTAATTTATGTATAAATTGCATTTCTTGTCTTGCCGTCCAATGCCATTATTCCCATATCTCTATGGTCCTGTTTGATATAAAGCATTGAAAATGAATAATAAAATTATATAATCCATTTCTACTATAGTATTCTTTAATCCCATATATATGGGTTTATATAATCCCATGTAATAAGTTATCTTTCATACTAAATATTATTTTCTCAATTCCCATATCAAAACCTATCCCTTATTTTTAATGTTTCATATCAACCGATACTCATGGGCTATGCCAGGAAACTGCCTTCAACAATTCAACTGATTAGTTGAAATTATGTGGCTTCATCATTTACCTATCTCACTGCGCTCAGGCCTCACCACTGCAACTCCTCTATTTCCAATCGAATTCAAAATCCAAATCTACAATAATCTATTTTTAATCACTATTTTCTACATTTTTCTTTAAGTTAAAATCTCCTGACTATACATGCACACACTCATCATCCTCTTCGGACTGCCTCTGTATTACACAGCACAGAAAAAACTGATTTGCTGCACAGCACAAAAACTGATTTGCTTTGTGACAGACAAAATCTTTATGCAAATTAAGACAAAATTTCTTTTACATATTCTAAAATGTATTTTTAAAAAATTAATTTTACGTAAATTAAGACAATTTTTTATATAAGTTGATTTGATTTTCACTCTAACACTCATTTATCATCATCATCATCAAAGGTGAGGTTGAAGCTACCCAAAAGCAGAAAGAGTTCTCTTCGCCGATGCTTCAAAAGCCTTCATTGACTTTCTATTCAACCTGCTTCGCTTACCCATTAGCACAATGGTATGGTTGGCTCTTCAGGCAAACCCCACGAAAGCATGGAGAATCTCAATGACGATTATCTGATCAATCCAAAGCAAGACAAGACCAATGCTTCACTAGTCTCATCAGGAACCTTCTCCAAACCTGTGATAAATATAAGTTTAAGGGGAGAGTCCAGTTTTAAGAAACTAACTTATTAAAAGGAGGAGTCCTTAAAATTATAAACTCCACAATACTAGTGAGATTTCTTAACATGGAATTCCTAACAAAGCATCCCTTGAGAGCCAATGTCCCAGTGGTTTCATTCTATGACGCTTTACTCAGTCTTCTTACAGGTAATAATCTTCACAAATAATCCTATCCAGTTGGTTCTCTCAATTAAAGCACTAATGTAATAAGCATAAGTTTAAGAGGAGAAATCAATCTCAAAAAAGCTAACCTATTGGAAGGGGGATTCCTTTGAACTTATAAACCTCCTAAATTTCCCATCTTTACATGTGTAAGAGCCGTTTGTGAACAGGGCTTGTCCAAGATGGGGAGGTCGCATGAGCTATGCTATACCATTAATAGATTCGAGTAAGAGAGGAGTTGTGAAGACATTAATCCCATACACAGCGATGGATGATCTCGACGTTCGTCCGTGTCTTCCATTTCAACCATCACTTTGATCTCCAAGTTCAGTTGGGGATGGAAGAGGCAATTTCGTATGCTGCGCGCGCGTGCAGGGACTTCTCTGAGACTTTTGCTTTCATTTTTCTCTGTTTTTTGGCTGAAGATGTTATAGTTTAGGTTATTATACTTGGAGCATTGATGAACCTTTTTCCTGATACTATTGTTTGGTAGGAGTGAGAATGAAGCGGAAATTTTTATATGAAGTTATATTTCTTTTGATTCAATCGAATGTATGTTTAATAGTTTTCTTAGAATATGCTCGGATTAAAGACAGTGATGATTGATGGTAAAAAAAGTTTACATGAATTCTAAATAATATGTCCAGAATGAAATCGAGAACTATATTTATACTCTAATCATTCTTTGTTTCCTTTTGATCTGGTTTACATAATTAATTGATGCTTTTTTTTTTTAATTTTGTTTGCTCTGATAATATTTTTTTTAATCAAGAATACGGCAGCATAAAGAAGCAAGGCATTTCTTTAAACATTGAAATTGAAATATTAATTAAAGATAGCAAATATGTAAAAATAATAATTTATTTTTCAAAAACATCTCATTGACGAGGAGGTGAGTGAAAA